CAAAATACAGGAGCCTGTTGGACTTGATCCATTGATACAAGTCTGCTTCCTGGGGCGGAGATCTTGGTGGAGAAAGGAAGAGGGTGGACCTGAAAGGTGCCAATACATCATTATCCCAAACATTTTCCTCCAAGGGTAACATTTCTAAAAAACTTCTGACAGCCTACCATTCATGTGTGAGGGCAGGAAACACAAAGTAAATGAATTTTGCATTGATAATCCTGACAACTTTTCCTGACTGACTAGTGTGTTTCTTTACCACTTTGTCTTTGAGCAACCACACCGAAGACAACCATCAGCAGTAGGATGGATCAGTTATGGTGCCACCATTGTGTGAGTACTACACGGAAATGAGAAAGAACAACATGGAACAATATGAAGTGGTGTCATTGACACAATGTTGAGGAGAATAAGCCGGACAACACCAAATACATTGTTTGATTCCATGATACAAATTCAGGAAACACAAATCAATGGTAAATAGGGATCTGAATGGTGGGTAGTTTTGTGCGAGAGGGACCTTGACTGAGAGAGGGCAGGAAAAATCTTCCTGGAGACTGAAAATATATTCACCTGGGTGGTGATTACATGAATGCACTCATACTCAAAATTCCATGTAAAATTTACTTAAGATCTTTCAATTTTACTGATGTAAGTTATACTTCAATAAAATGTATCTATAATACTGACAGATGTATAAACACCTAGTAGTATAAAAATAATGTATAGACATAAAATTTTATATTAGAAAATTATAAAACAATGTTTTATAATATTGCAGGTGCTCAAAAATGAGGTAATATAGGTAAGGCTCCTATATCCCCTCTCTCCATTCCCTTCCCTTCCTTCCTCCCTCCTTCCTTTTCCAGTTACTTGTTTCCATAAATTGAATTTGTGTAGATTATTTTATGCTTATAAACATTGTTATTTGCAATAGGTGATCCATAAAGCAAACACATTTTCAAATTCAGTGGTATAAAATGTGGGACTGCAGAAATGCAAAATTAATTAGTTAAGTGAGCAAGGCAAGCTAGCTGTTGCCTAGCTGGGTAGGAGCTCTGGAGTCCACCTGTAGGGGCCTGGCTGCTCTTTGGCACCACCTGGTGGCACTTGGCTGGCCTCAGCATAAATATGTTCGGGTTGAGTCTGGGTTCTAACATCAGACTGGGATTTGCAAGCTCTTCACTGGAAATCATCACCAGCTTCAACATGCCTATTTCAGATGAGAGAGACCAGCAAACACTGGGATGTAAGGACCCAGCTCCTGCCTCTGTTATGGAACTGGCTCATGTTCTCCATCTCTCTTTCCTTTCTCTCCACCATGACCCCTTTCATTTACTCCTAGAAAAGGTTTAAGAACAGTAATTTTCAGAGGCTGCACACCAACCAGTAATCGTGTTGTATGAGAATCTAGTTACTGTGGTTATTGCAGGGTTTTACATTTAAAAACTGGAAATGAGGAAGAGAAGATGTGTTCATCTGAGGGTAACAAGCCTACACACGTGGACAACCCAAGAAAACTTGCTAAAAAGACTACCCTAAATCATTAGAAATTTAGTAAACAAAAGAATGGAAAATTTATCAACAAAATCCAATTTGGGGATGTAATTGAGGAGAAAAGCACATTTACATAGCAAAGATACACCCCCCCCAAAAGATAACACATGGGTAATCCAAAGAAACAACCTTTAAAATAATTACTAAGTGCAAATGTTACCAAATATCCCCCACTCCTGACTTGTCATTGCTGCTTCTTTATCAAAAAGCTTTAGTTCTGCTCTACTCTTCCCACCTAGTAAAAATCATGAATATCTGACCATGCCTGTAACTTTGATAAAATTCATTAAGATACTCAATTTTTTAAACTGCCTCAACATCATCAAACACAAGTACAAGTCCCATAATAAGCCCTCCCTAACACTCACTTACTGAGACACCACATCTCCCCTTAGTGTGCAACGTTCCCTGCAGCAAAAAGCATCAATAAATCCATCTTTGTTTGACTTGCCAGGGTGCTCCTGGTGGTTTGACTGAGGGACGTCAACAGAGCCTGTGCTGACACTCGGAGAGAGGAAGGATCCCCCGTAACACCTGTCATACACGCGGCCTGACTGTCACAATGACAGTTAATGAACTTTTCAAGAATACCTGGAACGTTCATAAAGATGGTACATATATGAAGCCATCATAAATCTTAGTGTAGCTTCCAGAATCAGTAACATATAGAGAGTTATCTCTGTACAGAGGACTATCAAATTAGAAACAAAAGTCAAAATCTAACCAACATCCCTGCACATTTGAAAAAAAATTTTAATGTATACATAAATCAGTTATTAATAAGAAAGAAGACATTTAGTAACCATGCAAAATTTTGTCAAATAGTACCACTGTTTTTGAAATACAAATTATTTGAACTGGGAAAGCAACTAAAGTTTTTAAGTAGAGAAACTCTCATCTAAATACTTACATCACAGCAGAAAGACTGAGTCAATAGCCCAAGCATTTTATTCAAGAAATTAGACCAAAAAACCACAAACTACATCCAAAGAAATAAAACATAAGCATAATCAAGACAAGCAGAAATGAATGAACTAACTGAAAGAAGGTAATAAAGACAGTTAAATTAAATAAAATTATAAAGAAGGCAAACGAACAAGTATTGGGGAAGTAAAAGTAGAATGTTTTGGCAGATACAATAGACAAAGGTCATGAACATAAAACAAATTTATTCTAATATGTTCGGAAACTTTGAAAGAACAGATAGCGTCTTTCATAAACCTTCCAGAGAATCAACAAGAGAGAAAACACTCTCCAACTCAACACATACATCTAATATAACTTGGACAAAAAAACCCCCTAGGATAATACAAGTTAGGAAAATTATGGATCTACCTACTAGCAGAGAGACAAAAATTGTAAACCAATGACTACCTAACTAAAACTAGCAATGAATTCATAATGATAAATGTAAACCCATCATGACTAATGATTTTTTTTTCTTCAGGAAAGAAAGAACGGTTAACACTAGTAAATCAATTACTAGATGTCACCACCTTAAAAAGACCCATACAATCATTTCAATAGACTCAACAAAATATTTGGTAAAATTAAATCTTCATGATAAAAATTATGAAATATAACAGCAAATTAGAAATAGAGAGAAAATTCCTAAAATTAAAAAAGGGTATCTACCACAATCTATAGCGAACATCATACTTAATGATAAACAAGTAATTTGTATCCTTTACTTTTTAAAATTTCCATATATATTATTTATTTTTGTATCATTAAATCTTTGAGTGATCTAAACAAGACCCCCTGAATCTGAAAAGTAAAATTAGTCAAAATCTAATTTCCTACTGATAGGTCAGGTTCTACCTCCAGTGACAGGTTCTTGACACTGTCCACCTGTCTTTCACCTTAGCCAAGACTTCTTATTATTTACCTTGTCCCAGCTTATCATTCTGGAGTTATTCTTTCCTCCATAGGTGTTGTATAAAAGCCTTGAATCTGTTAATTTTATACTATCAATTCATATGAACTTGCCTGTTACTTTGCCTTAAACCTTGACTTCGTGTTATGTATCTCACTCTTTCTTTCCACTTGTGCAGGTTTCTTGGTCATTTTTTACTGGACTCTGGAGAAGAATGAGTGTGACAATGCTCTTCTTTGTAAATAGTATTGTTTTAAAATAGGTGTTTATTGATTGACTGATTTATAATTTTTTATATTGAAGTATAGTCGATTTACAATGTTACATTAATTTCTGGTGTGCAGCATAGTGATTCGGTTATATATATATACACACATATACATATATATATATATATATATACACACACACATATACATATATATATATTCCTTTTCATATTCTTTTTCATTACAGGCTATTACAAGGTATTGAATATAGTTCCCTGTGCTATACAGAGAAACTTGTTTTTTATCTATGCTATGTATTGTACTTAGTATCTGCAAATCTCGAACTCCCACTTTATCCCTCCACCCCGCCCTTTTCCCTCTGGTAACAATAAGTTTGTCTTCTATGTCTGTGCATCTCTTTCTGTTTTGTAAATATGTTCATTTGTGTCATTTTTTTAGATTCCACATATAAGTGATATCCTATGGCATTTTTCTTTCTCTTCCAGATCTCATATGTTCTATTCAACTTGATCTAGAAGTCCTAGTTCTAGCAAGAAAAGAAAAAAAAGTCATTGCTTCTAGACCCACTGATTATATACATAAAACGTCCAAGAGATCATATAAACTAATATATTCTGTTGCCATTCAAGAGGACGAGAGAACATTTTAAAGGAATCAGAACTTCTCCTGTTGATGATTAACTGAATTCAAACAAATTATGAAGGAGATTACACGTATTCTGGCTATAGGGTTCAGGAGTCTATTTACCCAAGTCAGATGAGAAAAATGGAATAATTGAGGGTATGGATTTGAAGACCTCTGTTGACCAAATGGAGAACACTCGTGGGGAAAAAAAGTCATTCAAATAGCTGTTCCATCAGGTGCTCCAGGAAGAATCATCCTTGAGGCGTGCCATCCACACACCTTGTCCCGGCCTCAAACAACTGGATGAGAGCAAATAGAGCTCTCACTAGAATTCTGTAATCTTGCCTGCCCTGACTGGCAAACCGAGAAAGTAGACTTTCTAGATTATCCATTTATTGCCAATTAGCTCCAGAATCATTCTTTCTGCCTGCTCTGTGCAAGTGGATCTGGGCCCTTTAAATATCTCAGCTTTGTTGGCTGGCACCATGCTAGGCTGTATCAGTAGAGGGTGCTGGAGAGAAATCTTAGGAGCAGGAGGTTTTCCCTCCTGGTTCCAGTGACTCCCCTGACAGGCTCCTCCTGCAGTGTAAGTAGTTTCCCAAGTGTTAGTCCTGCAATGCAGGCAGCCAGAGGCGCCCAGAGGCCAGCAGCAATCTCAGCCACTTACTTTTCCCAGGTGGTTGTACAGTAGAATGTATTAGAGTGCCTCAGTGATGCACGATCCCCTGAGCAACCTTCTCCAGTGCGCTAGAGTGCCTCGGAGAGACACCTTCTTGGAAACCTGTACCTCAGAGGTTGGATTTCTGGCAACATCCAACTGCGTGTACCTCAGTGATTTCTCTGCCATTCAGGGAGCCAAGGCTGTTCCCTCCAACAAGATGTGGATCTCAGCCCTAAGACGAGGTTCACTCTTCCTCCCATGCATGTTCTATTTCACCCCAAAAGTGGTGGCCATGTTACATGTCATAACATATCCCATCACACTTCATCCTATTTTATCATATCACTTATCATGTCATATATCATATCATATCTGCTTTATTATGTATTAAAGCCACTGTTCCAATAGTCTTTAAGTTCTCTTAACATTTTAATAGCCCATCTCTAGTTATTCCATTCTCTTGTTACAGTTAATAATTTTTTACATTACATTTTCCCTTTTCAATTACTGTAGGATTTCTTTCTACTGATGGAACCCAGACTGACAGATTCAGAAGTTAATGTTTGTAGAGAAATGTTACTTTTTGTTGTGCTTAGTTTTATCCTACTATGAATAATTCAGAGGCATTTTAGAATCCATAAAATAACCTTTTCATTAATTCACTAGCAAAAGGGATATAATGAATCATGAGGGCCATCTCAAAAATTTGAAGCTTTTTTTTAACTTTTAGGAAAAACATAGAAAGGAACACAATACACTTGTGATATAAATATTTTTCATTGTGAGTAAAAAAATCTAGCCATATGTAATCTACTCACACTATCCCTTCAACAATATCTTTATGACTCCATGCTAATCTGTCAACCTAAAGATTAATGGTAATAAAGCATATTTAATTGTCTAATTTCAGAAACAGGTAAAAATTATGATATTAAAATTTTTTCATAATGAAATGTAATATGTACAGAAATGAGCTTAAAAGTCTTAGGAATGGTTTAACAAATATGTACAGCAAACAATAGTTCTGAGGAAATATATTACCAACACCAGAGCCATCTGGAAGCTAAAGGAACTATACCCTGCCCCTCCTCCATCCATTCCTGATTATAGCCCCTTCCCTTCACCCTAGAAGTAACTACTTTCCTGACACTTCTGGTCATTATATCCTTGATTTACTTTTACCAACTGTGCATGTACTCCTAAAAATAAAGTTGTTTTGCCTGATTTTGACTTATAAATTCATTTGTATTTTGTCTTTAATATTTACCCATGTGGTTGCATATGATTCTGATTCATTATCTCCATTGCAGTAGTCATCACAGTTGGAAATTAGGATTATTCCCAGTTTGGGGAGTAATACTACACCCGTGTATCCTGGTGTACATTTGTACACATTTCCGTAGGGTAGGAATGGAATTTCTGATCATAGAGCATATTTTCAACTATATGAGATAATGCCAAGCAGGTATCTAAAGTGGTCTTATTGATTTATATTGCCCCTGAAGTGTAAGAGATCTCCTATCATTCTACACCCTCACCAAAGCTTCACTTTATTACTCTTGAGTCATTGCTAACACGATGGGTGTAGCATCAGTCAGCAGCTTTAATTTGCAGTAGTCTGTCTGATAATGTGGCCAGGAACCTTTCCATTTGTTTTTTGGGTTTTTTTTTTTTGGCTACCTGAATTTTCTGTTATGTGATGTGCTTGTATTTTATCCATTCCCACCCCCTTTCCCCTCTGGTAACCATAAGTTTACTTTCTATATCTGTGAGTCTGTCACTGTTTTGTAAATAAGTTCATTTGCGTCCTTTGAAAAAAAAGATTCCACATATAAGTGATATCATGTGGTATCTTTCTTTCTCTTTCTGGCTTACTTCACTTAGTATGATGATCACCAGGTCTATAGACCCCGAATAGCCAAAACAATCTTGAGAAACAAGAATGGAGCTGGAGGAATCATACTTCCTGATATCAGGCTACACTACAGTAATCAAAACAATACAGTACTGGCACAGAAACAGACACGCAGCTCAGTGGAACAGAACAGAGAGCTCAGAAATAAACCCATGAACTTTCGGTCAATTAATCTATGACAAAGGAGGCAAGAATATACAACGGAGAAAAGACAGTCTCTTCAATAAGTGGTGCTGGGAAAACTGGACTGTTACCTGTAAAAGAATGAAATCAGAACATTCTCTAACACCATATACAAAAATAAACTCACAGTGGATTAAATACCTAAATGTAAGACAGATACTATACAACTCTTAGAGGAAAACATACGCAGAACACTCTTTAACATAAACTGAAGCAGTATTTGTTGGTCTGTCTCCTAAAGTAAAGAAAATAAATAAAAAATAAACAAATGGGACCCAATTAAATTTAAAAGCTTTTGCACAGCAATGAAAACAATCTACAAAACAAAAAGGCAACCTACTGAATGGGAGAAAATATTTGCAAATGATTTGACCAATAAGGGGTTAATATCCAACATATATAAATAGCTCTTACAACTTAACATCAATAAAAGCAAACAGCCTGATTTAAAAAATGGGTAGAAGAACTGGATAGACATTTTTCAAAAGAGGAAATGCATAAGACCAACAGGTACATGAAAAAATGCTCGGCATCACTAATCATCCTGGAAATGCAGAATAAAACCACAATGAGATCTCAACTTCACACTGGTCAGAATAGCTATCATCACAAAGAACATAAAAAACAAATGTTGGTGAGGATATGGAGAAAAGGGAATCCTTGTACAATGTTGATGGGAATGTAAATTGGTGCATCCACTATTGAAGAGAGTATGGAGGTTTCCAAGAAACTAAAAATAGAATTATCATATGGCTCAGCAATTTCACTCCTGGGTATACATGCAAAAAAACAAAAATGCTAATTTGAAAAGATACATGCACTCTAATGTTCAAAACAGCATTATTTACAATTGCCAAGGTATGGAAGCAACCAAAGTGTTGATCAAAAGGTAAATGGATGTAGAAGATGTGATATAATATATATGTATAGTATATACGTGCAAACACACATTGTATATATACACACACCCACACAATGGAATACTACTCAGTCACAAAAAAGAATAAAAATTTGCCATTTGCAGCAACATGGATGGACTTTTTTTGAATTTGGCAAAAGGAGGTTGTGGTCACTTCAGTGTGAACTTTTCTAGGAAATGCATAGGAGACACATGCCAGAGGGCTGTGACATGAATGGCAGATGAGGAAGAAAGATCACAGATCTAGACCACATCTTCAAGAAGTTGGGTGTGAAACAGAGAAAAGAAACAGGAAAGTCGCTGGAGGGTTCTATGTGGTAGAAAGAGGGTTTGTTAGAATGAAAGGGTCCTGGCCATTCTCAAGTGCTGTTAGGAAAACTCCCAGCAGATATCCCTGCTCAGCCTCCAAGAGAGGATAGGGGATCCCTTCAAAGGGATCCTCCTCAAGGATCAGCAAAGGAGGAGGCCTGTGCACTGTGGAGATGAACCGGTTGGCAGGCAGGGGAAGCTGTGAGTGTAGTGAGTAGACAGTCAGGGAGGGCAGGTCTGAAGTCTCAGTTTTCCTGTAAAGTCAGGGGCTGAGGTGAGGGCGTGGTAAGAGTGAGAGAGATGAAGGGGAGAACTTAGGAGAGAGCTGACTAGGGACAAATGGAAGCATCACCAAGTGTGCTGAGCTCCTAGTTCAGGTTGGAAACCAGAAATGACAGTTTCCCCCAGTCTGTAAATCTGGTAGATTTTCTCAAGCACCCAGCAGCCTAAACTGGGGAGGGTAGTTGGAATCTATCTTTTGTATCCATTTGATTTT